TCAAAACTCCATTTATTTTAAATGCATTCAATTTTCATGAATTTGTCGTCTCTTCAAATTATTTCAAATAAACTCTAATCCTATTGAATAGTATGTGGAAGTAATTTGTTATATCTTTTTCCAAATCACAAATTTTGGTATAAATATATAAACTATGAATGTGCTCAAAAACTATAAGTCTATATAAACTAACACAAGTATACATAGTAAAATTCTCCTACAGCTCTCTCAGCACATTCATAATATACACGAATTCAAATGCGAGAATCGATTTATTGAAATCATTTAAAACCATTTTAAACATTTTTTTGGCTAAAAGTATTCAATTCTCACGAATATATAAGCCCTTCAAATGTTTAAAATAGGATAAAATTTCCAATTACTTAATCAATTGTCAAAATAGTGTAATGATTGGAAATTTATATTTACTTTCAAACGTACTTTTATTATTAAAATAAAGTTAGGTTTTATTATTCCTAACTTCATTAAGAACAGCTGAATGATCATTTATTTTAATTATATTGTCAGTTTAATTATAATTATTAATAATATAACAAGTTTAAATTTTTTAAACAATTTTAGCAATTAATTGTAAAATTGCGCAAAATTTAAAGAATTTATCGATAATTTAAACATTTTAAAAGAAAATATTTTGTTAGTTATGACAGGAATTTGTCATAATTAGATGTAACAGCACTTACTTTAAATTCTACAACATATTACAATTTGGATAAAATATATTATAAATTTATAGGTAATGTGCTTTACTTTGCGTTAATATCATAACATAAACTATTATGCCTAATGTTATATACATTTAAATTTATTTTTCTTAATATGTATCACAATTTACACAACAAATACCATGATAAATAATTCTGATAATAATTCTCATCACATTATATAAATGTTATATGAACAAATTTAAATAAAATAAAAAGAATTATTTTTATTACACTAGAGAGAGAGAGAGAGAGAGAGAGAGAGAACACGTAATCCTGAGCCTATGATTATGAAGTTATATTTGGCTGAAATATATTCCTTAGGGTTTCTTTATATGAAGAAAACAAAATAGTATTTGGAAATAAAAATTGCTTTTTTCTAACATTTTTTAAGGGAATAATCATAAAGAATAATAAAATATATGTTCAAATAATTCACTTCACTTTATTTTAAAAGATATAAAATATAGAACAATACAATAAATGTGTTTATTTGTATCATACATTTAATGCACTGTACTTTCTGTTATTATGTAACAAATATCCGTAAAAGTATTTGATTTTGTCTAAAAATGTAAACTTAAACCTCATTTAGTAAAAACATATGGTTAGGCATTTCAATATATTTTTTATTTTGCAAAAATAGTTTATTATTTTGTTTGTTCAATAAATCATTTATAAAAAGCATAAAATACATTGTATATTGTATTTATTGGATTCATATGTAATTTTGTTTTCTTCTCTTTCTAATCCAACACTAAATCATTTTCAATACAGATATATATTTATAAAAGGAATAGATTTTTATTCACATAATAGTTATTTTTAAAATAACAATATAATAATCAAAGTAATTGTAATAAATATAATATTTAGTAAGATAGATATAAATTTAAAATTAAACAAGGTTTACACAGCGATGCTATACGTTAACCACAATTCGGGTGATGCTCAAAGAATAGATTAGCATTATCTATAGATTTAATATGAGTACACTAGATGTTAACAGAGTTAACATGCATTAGTCCCATACGACCGATATTATCCATAGAATTAGCATTAATCCCATAGACTTAGCATTGTCCATAGAATTAGCATTATCCATGCTAAAGTATAGCCTTAGACTTAAACTGTAATTTCATGTTCATTCCCCGCAGACTCAAGAACCCCATGTTAAAGTATAATCATAGCTTATAAATCACATTATTCATAGCTGAATTGTGATTTAAAATATGTAACGAATGTTTTATATCATATTATGATATGGCATAATAATCATACTTATTTTAATAAATCATGATTTTTAATAGTATTAGAAATTGGAGAATAAAGTTTTTTTAAAACATTGATTCAACATAATTTTTGTTTGGATTTGATACTATACTATACACTAATGAGTATAAATGATGTTTACAAATTATATAGTTTGTTTACCCAGTATACACCACAATTCTTATAAATAATTCATTCATAATACATCCATTAATCTCCACCCTGTACCTTACACAATACTTATTGATATAAAAATTGTTTAAAATAAGTAAATAAATTACAAAATAAGTTCAAATTAGAAATTAACTACATTTAAATAAGTTTTGTATTTAAATACTTTAGGTGTGAATATGTTTATTGAACGAAATGATAAAATAAAATTGTTTTCATATATAATTTAATATTCGATTATTTTTCATATTTAAATACAGTGGCGTTAACACAGTTTCCTTAATAATAAATGTAGAAACAACAGTAGATTCAATATTATTGTACTTTTACTATTTCATATTTTCTTTAAATTAGCCTAGAGTTAAAAACCGCAATCTATTTAATTACATTTGAATATTAATTAATCACATAAATTGATTCATTAATTTTCTTTTGTTATTAATTATACAAAATGAAACATTACGTGAAATATAGTTAAACAAAAGCTGGTTATCATGCGATTAATTATTCATATTTTTTGAAACACATTTTATCTCTGTTTTGAAATAATAGAAATTGATTTATTATTACACTTTTCGACTCAAATTCATTTATCATTTATCAAAATAAATCTTGCATTTAATGATCAATTATTGCTATTTATAGTTAATATTGCTTGAATATTAAATACATAGATAATCTATTTTCTTATAAATCTGGAATTAATTAAGTTGAAATTTAATATAAAGTTTTGTTATTAAATAATCTAGTATAGTCTTTGTTAATATTTCCATTGATATTATTACATGTTAATTGTATTTCCAGTTGTCAAATCTACCAATAAATAAATTTTATCAAGCATAATTTATGTTTAAATTCAATGTTTTTCTAATTTTTTTAAAAAATATTTTATAAATTAAAAACATTTTTTCTTTTTAACAAAAAATTGATTTATTTTATATATAAATAGAAATACAGATTGCAAATAATACCGCTTATAATTTATTATAATTTATATTTAATTGATGTTTTGAAAGTAGCATTTTATGATTTGGTATACAGAATATAAATATTAAATGAGTTAATGAAAAAGTAAACTAAAGAGTTTGAAAATATCAATACATGTATACTGTTTAAGTAATTTTACAGCATTTTATACAGTAGTTATGTATCTTTTTCTTATATAAATTTACACGATATCTAAATATAATTGAAAACTTTACTATTTAGTAATTGTTTTAATTAATTTAGCTATTTTAAATTAAACTTTAGTTATTTGTTTAATTAAGTTAAAATGTAAACTATTTATATAAATTAAATAGTAAGAAGTTAAAAATTTAAAACATTGCATATTTTTACAATTGAAAGTTGCAAACAATGCCATTTGTTTATAAAATATTTTATTAATTTATGCTTTAAGGCATTCAAATAATTTATTTCGGGCTTAAATATAATTTATGTTATTTTCGTTTATAAACTTAATTTAGAATTTACTTTTGGTTTCACTTTAATATCTCATTGAATGGATTTAAGGGATTCGTCTTTAATTGTAATTTATGTTCAAAACAGCGTTTCATATCAAATATACGCAAATCCTTGAAGATGTGAATAATCCCTTATTGGAGACATAGCCATAAGCAATACAGTGCAGCACATTATGTTGTTTCCCTATTTTACATTCTTCATTTTCTGGACTCAAAATTATTAATTTTATTAACACAATTTTTTTGAATAAAGAAATCATTTGTTTTACATTAAATTAATATACATTAATATATACGTGCATGTACATGTACGGTGTGTAACAATTTAGAATAATTTATTAAAATAATTAAGTTTTTATTAAATATTGTAAACAAAATGCATTTACTTAAAAGAAATAGTCATTTTTGTAAAACTATCTTTGATTGTCTCAGTTTTTATACAAAATTCTATGATAAATAATCATTAATCGTAAAAATTTAGTAATTTTTTGAAATACTGTTTGCCATAAAATTTTATTAATATCACAGAATATAAAATGTGTTAATAAAGAGTGTTGTCTTGTATGAGTTGGCTGTGAGCCCATTGCCATTATACGCAATATATGACTACATTTATGATTTATTTATTTTTGTTTAGTAAAGTTTGGTATGGATTATGAAATAAATTAAAATTTATTAAATTACGACATAAGTATTATAAAACTTATATAAGACTTTTGAAAGGCAAAACAATCTTTTTAATTAATTCCCGCAATACGGTTGACAATATTTTTATTTTATCATCATTTGGTTAATTAAATAAAATGCATTTTAAAGGAATTAATACATAAATTAATTAATGGATCACGATTTGTAAAGACTTGAATCGAGATTAAGTTAATGAAAGAGTTTAAGCATGATTTTTTAAATTACATCATTATATTGTATAAATAAGTTAGTTTAAGTTACTAATCGATTCAATGTAATCTTATGTTATAATTATATTTTGCATAATAATGAAAATAATCGTATTTTTACATTGAACCTAGCTTCTTTTTGTGTACATCAAGAGCCTATTATTTATAAATATAAATGTATGAATTAGAAGATTATTACCATAATTAACATAATAAATTAGTATTATTATGAATATTGATTATGTTATTATAGTAGTACTCTGTAAGCATTTAAATGAATAATAATAATGTGTTTTTATAAACTAATTAATTATAGATTTTGACGGCAGTATTGGGCTATAAGTGGTGTTTTGAACATTTGATTGCATTAATAATAGTGTGAATAATGTTATGAAGAAATGAGTGGATGAGTGGATACGTTGCGATCATTCCTTGATTTAAATCTTGGTCTCAATATATGAGTGTCTCCAGAGATATGAAGACATTGCTAATGGTTTGTCACTTGAAGTATATAATTATATAAGAGTTAAAGACAGAGAAAGTGCAGATCTGTTCGCCAATTATGGAAAGTGAGAGCCAAACACTCAGTCCTAATGAGTCGTTTGTAGACGACTTTCAATACGATAACACCCGAGACCTCGTCGTCACTATAATGACGGCCACAATATTGGCTGTTCTCACCCTTTGCACAGTTGTGGGCAATGTCTTTGTCATCGCAGCCATTCTTCTCGAACGCAATCTAAGATCTGTTGGCAATTATCTGGTCTTTTCGTTAGCGGTGGCGGACCTAATGGTCGCCTGTCTGGTCATGCCGTTGGGCGCCGTGTATGTGGTGTCGGGTGAGTGGACACTAGGGGCTGGACTTTGCGATGTTTGGACAATTGCCGATGTATTGTGCTGTACGGCTAGTATTCTCCATTTACTGGCCATTGCAGTGGTTAGTATTTAATTACAAAATCTTTATATAATTTCAATTTAATTTATGTGCCTTTGCCTACAAATAGGACCGTTTTTGGGCCGTAACTAATGTTGATTACATACATAACCGAAATGGTCGACGTATAGGTGCCATGATATTTGGTATATGGTTAGTGGCGGGCATTGTATCGTTGGCGCCGGTGTTGGGGTGGAAAGACCCGGACTTTTTCCGGCGCATAGAGGAGGAGAAGTTGTGTTTAATATCACAAGACGTCTCATATCAAGTGTTTGCCACATTTGCCACGTTTTACGTTCCCTTAGCTTTAATACTAGTGCTCTATTGGCGTATATTTCAGGTGAGTCTTAGAGTTATAAAACTTTATACTTTTGGACTAAAATTCTCGTATAAATTAATGAGCGCTTAATTAATAATAAGTCAACATTTTCTGTTGGATATTGAGCTGTAGATATAGTCGAGTGCTTGTTATCCGTGAGGCATATATTGCATAAACAACAAGCAAACCATATGTGTGTTTATGTCTTAAGCCGATATATCATTGATTTAATGACACGATTCGATGCCAATTGTTAACGATTTGACTCTTTCTTTAGTCTTTCCATCATTTTTAGAGATTATTATCCAAAGGGAATCAAATACTATCTCATTCTTCTCCTCTACTCTAAGCATTTAATTAAAGCCAAAAACTAGTGATGAGATGAAAGAGAATACAGATTCTCAAACATAACTGACACACAAAACGTGAAGAATACAAAATATAAGGGAATGAAAATAATAATGATTTTACATTTTGATTGAAATCGCGAGTAAATCGTTAGCGAAAATATCTAAAAATATTTATAATAGGATATCGTTAACAGAGATAAAGCTTTTTCTTATTCTTTTAACTTTTGGTTCTCTTTTAAAACTGAAAATGATATTTGAATTCTTATTCCTCGCTATTATTCTCTATCAGACCATTCATTCCCAGTCCCGTCGGGAATACATATGAATTATTCCTGTCTTTACTTTAGTTTTTCAACAAAACACATATGACATTAAATATAATGATCTATACTTTTAATATTAGTTTTTCACTTGAAATCGCTTATCAAATGCAAAGTATGTAATACACTATTTATATGACATTTGCATAAAAAAATTTATCTTCAGTTGTTATCAGAAAGTTCTTAAGTTTTACATTTTTATTGGAATTTTTGAGTCATTTTTCTAATGAAGAGACGTTTACAATATTAATAAATTATTTCCTTTTAGTCAATTCTTTTGAATTATTTATAAATTTTGTTTTCAAAACTAAATTTTCTGTTTGAAATCAGAGAATTTTAATCAAATACTAATGAATAATAAAACAGTACTTTTATAACTAAAAGATTTTAAGATTTGTAGTTTTTCTAGATTTTAAGATGTTTTCAAGTGTTGATTGTGTTGTAAATAAATACTGCGATACAAAACAACAGATTTTAGGGTTTAAGGCATTGAAGAGATTAATTGAAGAATTAATTGATGAATAAATGAGTAAATCTTAAATGAAGATACAATGCAATCAATGCTTATTCTCAGCATTACATACAATACAATGTAGAATAGAATATCACATATAGTAAGACAGCCTTCAATTTCCTTGTCTTATAAACAAAACTCTTTAATTTTTGGTTCAATAATGAAATTAATGAATGATTGAGGAGAGTATTTGTGAGTGAGTGTGTGTGTGACAGAGAGAGAGAGAGAGAGAGAGAGAGAGAGAGAGAGAGATGTGGAAGAGAAAAGAGCAGTGGAGGTGATAAGAGAGAAAATAGAGATGTTTATTGAAGTGTATATATGTTTTGTGTCACAACTAATCCCAAACATAGATATAACGACACATAAAACAAAATTAACTTTACTTCTAATGCGATTCAACGAAATGATTGTCCGTTTTGTCTTTGCCTACATTTTTGTCCACTTTTTGAGTGTATTTCCAAAAACAACGAATTCAAAGAAAAAGAAGTGTTTTTGTAACCAAAAAAATAATAGTGAATGGATTTTGTGTTGTCGTGTTGTGTCTCCAATTATTTCATTGTCTTTTCCGATTAGTCTTTCTTACAATTTGTATTTAATTGTTTTGTTGTATGTGTTGTTGAATGGATGGGAACGGATGGGAACGGATCGATAGGTGGCTCGAAAGCGGATTAGGCGTAAACCCGGCAATAAAGTGGTTCTGGCGTTACGGAAGACGTCCGGTTCCACTCGAAGCCTAGCAGTGCCTTCCACTCACGAATTGGTCACAAACTTCTCGAGCGAAGTGTCCACGTCTTCGCCCAATGCCAGCCCCGACAGGACCACCAATAATAACGGCTCCGTTGGTGACAAAGTCGATATATTGCCTAAAAAACGGTTACATCAGAGGGAGTCCATTGAAGCCAAACGGGAGCGCAAAGCAGCCAAAACACTAGCAATCATTACCGGTACACATCTTATCATATACTATACTACTGTATATACCGTATACAGTACTATATACCAGTCCTTTGCGTCCAATTTGCAATTAGTATGACTCCACACAGACGTATATCCTATGTTTGTTAACAACTTATATTATTTTGGCAAACAATTTGCCCCTATTGTAAACACTATGTCGACTCAAATCAAGTGTTATTAATATTATTTTTATTATGAAAATACGACAAAATCAATATTTAAACACATCAACTAACGATATGAAAACCACTATTTTTGTATACTTTTATTTTACTTTACTTCAAGTGCAGCAGATTTTTATGTCCTGTTATTTCTCACCACTTTATCATTTTTTTTAATCAAACAGAATATAAAGCAATTTATTTAAAAATTGCTTAAACACTAACAAACAAAAAATAATTTAATTAATTACAAACAAAATTATAAAATACAAGCACTCAATAATTTCTTAAATTTAACATCAATTAAAACTTGAATTAATTAGTATTAATTAAAATATTAAATAGTAAAGTATGGTATGTTATTTGCATGATGTAGGTCTATTTGTAATATGTTGGTTGCCGTTTTTCATCGTGGCCCTTTTGCTACCCCTATGCGAGTCATGCCGGGAAGATCTGCCAAATATAGTTTCAAACATTTTTTTATGGTTGGGTTATATTAATAGTTGTGTTAATCCTATTATATGTGAGTATATTTTCTCATAACTTACGTATGCATTGAATACTTGATAATCTCATTAATTATGATTATATAATAATAATATAATATTAATCAATGTTTACTGAATCGCGAATATTTAGATACGATTTTTAGTCCAGACTTTAGGACAGCATTCAAGAGGATGTTATTGGGAAAGAAGGCCTATCGCTCTCATCCAAAGTCACCCCAAAGAGTATGACTATTAATGACTTGAGGATCACTTCAATGGCTCACAAAATACTTAATTCATACCAATGTTTTTTCATGTGATAAACCATTATATAGAGATATATAGATATACTGTATATAAAAACTGTATTTTAAATGAAAATATTTTTTCGCCGATAAAAGTTAATCACAAGAAGTGATTGTGAAGTGAAACGAGAAATTATTTTAAATTAAAGCTTACATTCTTTGGGACTTATAAACAACACTCAAACCGATGACTGAATTGTTTTAATGCTTGAATTGCTCTTTGAATTCAAGTCAAGAGTTTATTTCAATTAATAGTTTTATTTGGAGTCTATTAAATCGATTGGGATTTACCACTAAACAAAAGTTAGTGTTTTCTTATTAGCTTTTTTCACTTGTCTTTCGGATATAATTCGCGAAATCCAATGGTTTGAAGGAATTGTGTTATATTCTGTTAATCAGATTTATGGCCCAATTCTCGAGCGAACCATTTATGCAATTCTTATAGCCATCGATGGGTTTGATGTTTGTTTATAACACACCTATGATTGCCAAACAATGACCAAAACAATGGACAACTAAATATCACTAAAACACTATTTCTAATGAATTATTTCACATCTGATACTCATTTAATTCATTCCTCATATAAATACCATTTAATTGTACAATGAATTCATGTATAAAATTATATGTAATATATGTTAAATATTATTGAAGTTTGTTGAACATTACATTAATTGTATTAAAATTTTATTACAGAATATTTAATATTATAATAATTATCACATTATTATTGGTTCGCTTTTTTTGGGGCTCAAAACGAATCAAACAATATATGTATAAAATATTATAATTAAACACATTTATAATATGTTTTGATGTATCATTTAAATCGAATTTTGTTAAATTTAAAGTTTTAGTTTTACAATAAATATTAAATTTAATAAAAGCCGTGTTTAATTTAAATTATTTGTAAAATAACTTATTAAACGAAAAGTTCAAAAGTTTAGTACAAAGTCGTTAGAGTAAACTCTCAATCTATAGGTAATGATTGATAACAACAATAATTTACCAAATGGTTTACAAATCAACACAAATGCTTTACTTCATTGGCTATTAATTGTTATGTTTTACACATTTTTAATAATAATTTATTTGCTAATAATGTATCTTATTTAGTCAATACTTTGATTTATACTGAATTAATATATTTATACTCTACAGTAGGGTTAGGCAAAAAACCAACCTTAGGTCAGGACAGGTAACCTCATGAAATGCTACATTCTATGGGATGCTAACATAGGAATAAAGATATATGCAATGACATCTAACGCTTAGGTTAGGTTAGGTCAGTTGCTTAAAGCTAGACTACAGGAATATCTAAATATATTTGTGTTAAAATTTAGCAAAAGTATTGTTACAAGTAATTTGTGTTTTGTTCGCACAGTAATTATTTATTATAATAATAGTTATAATTATTAGATATATATTTAAAACATAATGATAGCTATATTTCCAATAATTTGGAGCAAAAGTAATAAATATACGTTTATTCATCCACTTTTAGTAAACTATAATAAATTACATTTTAATTGAATTAACTTTAATTTCACTATTTTTAAAATGTGAACAAATATATATTTTTAGAAGAAAACACAAAAAAATAAACTCTTTTATAAAGACTTTCACGGATTAAGCAAATGATTTGTGAAGCGAATCGATATCTTTAAAATATTGTTTGCATAGATAAATATTTATATTTAGATTTGCCATAATATTATACTACTTCAAATACATTATAATTTTAATTTTAATATAATAGAAAAATTAATGTTTGAGATTTAATAAGTTCTTTAAATATTACATTTATTCAAAATATACTGTAAAAGAAGATATAATGAGTGAAACACTTCCTCATTGGTGTTGAACTTGTCTTGTGTTCAATATATTAGTAAATATTTGTCAAATGAGTTAACCATAACTTTTTACGCTCTCTTTAGTCGCGCAATACTTTCACTAATTTAAGAGTATTTCAAAAACAATTAACTTTTAACTCAATTACAATACTTATGCAAAATATCACTTACAATAAGTGAAATCTAATATTTTTAAAACTTAATTGCATTTAGGAAAACAGGTTTTACTCATTGACTGATACGGAATTGTGTTTAAGAAACCATTTGTTAATATAAATTAAGATAAAGAAAAATCTAAATATTTATCGCATTTGTCTCCAAATTGACTAAAAGTATGGAA